CAGCCTTTGTTTTTTCAATAAAGGTAATAGTTGCTTCTATACCCTCTTTTGTTTGAAAGAGGATAGGTAGTGATAGATCGCCTTCGCAGGCTTCTCTTAGTCCTTTTCTTTCCTCTCTATATAGATTACATCTAAATAGAATATGAGGTAGGTCTTGTATAGACCTATAGTTGCAGGGGCAACTATTAGAATCCACTTTCCCTCTCTTATATAGGTAGTCCCTTAAGTAACAGTGCCCTAGTTTAAGTTGGTAGAAAGCGCTAGAAATCTCTCTTCTAGTATTGCTAGGAATAGCGATTTGCTTTCTTATCTTCCACTTGTATTTTGCTGCGTACGTTTGTGGATTCTTGCTAGTGGCTTTTTTCCTATACTGTTCAAGTTGGCTTAGCCATTCTCTCTCTCCTAGCTGCTTAATTCGCGAGCTAGTAATAGCTAGGCTAGTTTTGCTAGTAGAAGGAGGGTCTAGCTCAGTAGCTTCTTTAGCTAGGGCGTCTGCTTTTTCGTTCCCAGGGATGTCTTGGTGGCCTGGTACCCAGTAGAGGCTAGGGCGTATACCTATCTCCTCTAGTTTCTTTGTTGCCTTTATACATCTAATTTGCCATTCTTGGCCTGGATTATTAGAAGCAGTCTTGAACCTAAGTAGAGCAGCTTAATTATCTGCATAGACTTTTATATCTAAACAGTTCTCTACTAGCTCTATTGCTTTTTCTAGCTCTAGGGTAATACCTTCTAGTTCACCGTTGTAAACTAGTTGGTTATTTCCTATAGTATATGGTCGGTTCTCCTAGATAGCGTGCTTTCCTAGCGGTTTCCAGAAAACTCGAAGTTGGTGGTCGAGTTTAAGTTGGACCATAGCTTATGCTGGTATGTATTTTAAGTGAAAATCTACCACAGCCTTTTACTCATGTAAATTTATAGGGAGATATCTCACTATCCAATTATAGCAATCCTGATCTTGTTGTTGCATCTCCGCACACATCCTTCGAGTCGGGTTGCAGAAAAAGATCGAGAGATCATCAGTAGGGCTACGCAGTGGCTTTCTGATATGGAGCCATCCGACCGCAACAGCTACCTCAAGGGATTCATAGGGGCGCTTAGTGCTATATTCAAAGCAATCGACCCGCCAAGATCGACTATACTCGATCAGATACCTGCGAGTCGAGTAGGGGTGAGACTACGCGGCTACCTGCAACAAGCGAGACGGGATCCGGTCCATGGGGTTTGTTTCCAAGCAGTGCGACTGACTCGCTGCTGCCACAACATTTGGAGGCCAGGACAGAGTTGCCACTTACAACGAACTTTGAACCGCCCAGTCATTCTTCTCAAAGCACCTCTCTCTTACAGGTCAGTTCGTAGTCAATGTCTGTTCACTAGGTAAACTAATCAAGATACGCAGAACGGAAACGAGAGTCTCTTCACTGATCTGGGTCTCGACCACGTGCTAAAACACGATTTTCTATTCCCTTGGAACACTTTCGAGTAGAGCTCAGTATACTTTGAACCAATAAGAGTTTCATAATGTTGCCACACTGAACTTTTTCAACCTTTTTGTATAATATCTCACTCATCATGCTCATTTCCTATCAAACTACCAATTTTACTTTAGTTGAATCTCCACAGATAATAACAAGAGAGAAATTTGTTTGCGCTATCGTAGCAGTGCGGACTAGACACGGCATCTACAACCGACTTTATTGCGATGCAAACCTACCAAATCAATACAGGAACTGCTCGCATTTTGTGTGATAGCACCTTCCGCGCGTCATAGGGTCAATGCGGTGGGGTATACTCGGGAACAGCCATGCAACTAGAGATGCGGGTTTGATCGAGCCTCAAGTCGAATAAGGCTCGCGGGATAATCAACCAGTTTGTCCCGGAAGTAATCCGCGAAACCTTTTGCCAACGGATCCAAGCGCTTAGAACTGCTAACGCCTCTTCCAAGAATGCCATACACAACAAAATGCACGGCGTACAATTTGGGGAACTCAACCCGCTCAATGCTGTAATCAGGTTGCATATCTTGTTCAAGCATTGCGCTCACTTTAGCTCGTGATAGATATGTTCTCAACCAATCCCATTTTTCTTTGCAGTCGACAAAGACACCGAAGTTGAGATTAGCCCCCTTGTCGCCTGAGCGGGCAAGAGCGACGTCTCCCAATCGAAGTTTTCGGAACGGACCAGTAAGCTCAATAGGATCCGAAGTGTCGTATGATGCCCTCTGTTCCAGTGGCTCAGATTTGCTGAGAGGTACACATGGTATACTTGAAAAAGTACCGGTTTTATTCACAAAATGGACGCTTTCATTTATCTTGCTCTGAGACCATAAAGCTGGATAGTAGGCCAGGTAGGGACGCGGGATCGATGTTCGATGATCAAGCGAACTATGATATCCTTTGGAAGAGTCAGTCAATCAGATTCACGGAGATGATTGTTTTCATACCATGGAAATGTTTGAGAGAGATCTTGAGTAACAACTTTCTTAGTGGATCAAGTGTCGCAGCATCTCCGGCCTGGGCAAAAACTCTAAAATACACAGTACTCTCGTTCTGATTCCTGGGATCTGAACCAGGGTTTCCAATACTATATCTCCTTAGTCAGTATATTACTTATGGGCTGGAATCATGTCTCATACCATTGTAAATCGAATGTGTCAAGTTTGTCTAGATTGTCTTTACCCACGAAGTACTCGATTTGGCGTTTGAATAAATTGAACTTTTGTTCAACCGCATATCCAGTGGCATTCACCAGTAATTGCATCTCGTATCCTCCTTTATAGAATATCGCAAGCTTTGTAGTCGGAGGTGGAGGAGCACCTCGCACCCCGCGGACTTGGACCCTGGTGCAATGTCAGTGCCGTCAAGAATTGAAGGATGACCATATACGTACCTGTCCTTACCAATTTCCTGCATCTCAATATCGTCAAGATAGGCCTTGACGTCACTGTTCAGATAGATGTTACCTTGCAACTCATAGACCAGCTGGGATTTGCATGTGTCCACAGTGACCATGCCACCCGTATTTGGATGCTTCGTAATCACACAGCTACCATCTCTGGCAATCTCCGCAATGGGGAAACCGGGGTCAATGAAGTTTTCCATGTCGTAGCGATCAAATCCTGCAAAATTTACACCCGTAACATATGCTGAGCATTCGATCAAGTGTCCGGCGACAAGAGCGCCCGCTAGAGCGTCGTAATCGGAAGAAGACCAGCCCCACCAATACCACGCAGCCGCAATGACTGGACTCGCATCTGACGCGCGTCCACAAATGACTATGTCGGCTCCTTCTTCAAACGCCTTGACAATTGCTCGGGCACCTGTATAGGCGTTTGCTGAGACAATCTCAGGGCGATTCTGCATGCGTGTGAAGAGATATGTCTCTTGGCTCCGGTGGACGTGCTTGTTATCGGAGTCCAAGTGGGGCAGACACTCATCTTCAGAACCAGGCATAATCTTAGAGATCTTTGATAGGACATTGTCCCCTGATACGTAGGCGACTTTGAGGTCGTAACCCTTACTTTCGACCTGATGCCATTCTCAATTATGTTTTCAAATCTGGTTGGGAATTTGAACATACGAACCAGCTCTGCGACCTTGCAAGCCAATCCCTCCGGGTTCAGGGCGCCACCGTTGATTGCAACTTTTATTCTTTTTTCATTGATGACTGAAATTGTTTGCTGAATACCCATCCAAGCAGTCTGCTCATAGCCCGGATGTTCGCCACGAGCATGGGCTTGGGCATTGTTTGCAATATTCATCTCTGGATGAAGATCAGCTTTTGATCTGCTTAGTGAAGTTGGGAGATTGGTCGCACCAGCTAGATAGTCGCCTGTGATGAAATCTACGTCCCCTTTCGTAGCCTGCTTCAACATCTCCTTTGGATCGTCGCCTATCCAAATACACTTCATTAGAGATGGATGTTGAGATATTGGGAACTAACGAACCATGATACCCTGAGCAATTAGCGATGCGTGGCTGGCGCACGCCCTTTTCACCAGTTCTCCATGAATTGGGCATAATGAAGGGTTGTGTTGTAGAATCTTAGTTTAGGATGAGTGTTCAAACATAGTCACCGAAGAAAATCATAGAGAAAACACTGCTCGTATGTATTTATATTGTGATAGACCAATGCGCTGTCTTGAAGACTGCCCATAAGCAGGCGGGGAACCTGGAGAGTGACGCGGAGTTCTGCACGGAGTTCTGCACGGAGTTCTTGAGCTTTGACTGACTAGCACCGTCCTTCGGCCCGCTCACCTCGGTTCCTCGGCACCTCAAATCAACTATCGACTTGTACTACTCAGGGTTTGCTTCATCTAGATTAATAAAAGAACGAAACGAACTCACCACCTACTAGCCTACACAGCCTAAAACCTACATGAAAAGAAACCTTAAAACGTCCTATAACTTATTTTCAACTTAAAATAGCTATATAGACTTTGTTGTAGCTACGAAGGGGGGGGGGGGGTAAAGCTGTTGTTTTCTATTTGTGCGCTAGGGGAGAACGCTGCGCATAGACATTTTAGGCTAGGCTAACATTTATCTGTACTGTACTTATCTAAAAGCCTCCATACAATGCCCAAACAATAGAGCAGTGGCCCACACCCCTAACATTTATCTGTACCGTACTGATCTAAAAGCGGTGGCCCACACCCCTGGCATGGCCTTCTGATGAGCATTATTGAGATCTGTACACAGCCGGTATATTTAAGGCCCATCCAGTCACCACAACTGTCCAAGGTCGTTAGATTGCACTCTCAATCACTAACATTGAGAATACACACACCAAGACCAAGCAGGTACTACCACTTCTTGAGAGACCCCTTGCTTTGTCAAATCATCAGAGCAATTTGATGCTAAAACTACCATGGTGTAATGAGGCATTTTACCGAGTCCTCTAACCATTTGTGGAGGTATTTCTTGACATCACGCCCGGAGTTCTCATTCCGAATGTCCCGTCAGTTTTCGGATGTACAGCCAGGGTTCCCAGGGTTTCGAACTAGCCTCTCACTATATATTTCAGGTTAAATAGTTAATCACTACGCAAAGTCTTTGTAGCACACCAGTGTCACAACCTTGAGATTCACTTTCTTCATTCTTTACAATCGTACCCGCGTGCTCAAATCCTCCCTACATTTTTAACATCGTTTCTTGCCTAGTCTTTACCGTACATTTGGTTGTGTTTTCAGCAAAATGAGCTACTCAATCGAACAAGAAGCATCCAGAATCTTGCACGAAGTCCTGCTTGCAGACCCTGCTCTCGACCTAGCAACAACCATTGTTGAGGCTGCTAAGAAAGTCCATTTCACGGGCAACAGATCGAAACCATTCGTGCCTGCACCTGTAAAACTCACAGAGTCTTCGGCCTCGTTGACCGCTCTGGTTGCTGCTGCAGCTAGTGCGATTGCTGAGGCCAGGTACGGCATTGGCTATCAAGACATTGAAGTCAACACAGACGCCGCGACGCTGTTTCTCGAGTCCGTTTTACTCCCAACAATCAATGGTAGATCATATGGAGAATCGCAGGAGATGATGAAGGAACTGTCGAAGATGGACTTGCATGATATGGTAAGCCCGATCAGACGTTACGCCACCTCGATCTATCAGACAAAAGATGGCCGTTGGTTCCAGCTGCATGGATCCATGAATGCAGATCGCACAATGGAAATGTTGGGTGTCAAAATGCAGAAAGTTACACGCAAAGAAGCAGCTCAAATCTACAAAGAAAAAGTCGCACAATGGGATTCACATGAAATAGAGAGAGTAGCAAATGATGAATCCCGACAGGCAGGAGTCATATGCTACACACCAGACGAATTCTTCAAGAGCAAGCAAGTACGTCAGAATCTACATAGTGATGCCTCCACTAATATCTTTTCAAGGGCAAGATCATGGGAAAGGAGCCCCTCTGGACAGCGAAGCCTATACCAGGTCCTAGGAAACAGTGGCCTTCATGTTCTGATTTTGACAATGAATACAAACCACTGAAAGGCATACGAATCATCGACTACTCCCGCGTAATTGCAAGTCCAGCAATCTCAAAGATACTTGCTGTGCTTGGCGCAGATGTCATAAGGGTTTCGTACAGCGAGATCCCAGAGTATGCAACTACAATGGTTGATCTGCAGACTGGAAAACGCGACGTCAATCTGAATCTCAAGACCCCTGAGGGCAAGGCAGCGTTTTCTCAACTACTCCAGGGCGCAGATGTGCTAGTGGATGGGTACCGCCCAGGTGTGCTCGAGCGATTGGGTTTCACGTCGACTTCGATGCGCAAGATCAACCCTTCGCTTATATACATGAGGGAGAACTGCTATGGGTTCAAGGGTCCTTTGGCGAACCGCTCAGGTTGGCAGCAGATCAGCGACTGTCTCGTCGGCATCGCTTACCTGCAAGGCCAATTCCTAGGACTGGATCATCCTGTGATTCCTTTGTTTCGTAAGTATCTACGGGTGGGTATGAAGAGTGAGTCGCTAATCATTTCATAACCAATTCTGACTACCAGACTGGCCTGGTTGGTGCCGCCGCCATACTTCAGGCTCTCATCAAGCGAACGACGGAAGACACAACTTATGATATCGACATCAGCCTCACTCAATACAACATCTGGTTCTACCGCCTTGGAACATACTCTGAGGCACAGCGAAAAGAACTCGTAGAGCAGGATCCAGATTTCCACCCACACCATTTGGACGACATGACAATACTAACTCGAAAAACTCACAGTTCTTTGGTCAAAGTGCACCCACAACTTGTCCAACCAGAGTACTTTTGGGAAATGGACGGTAGCGAATGGGGTATCAAGGACCCGATCAAGATCTTGGCACCGGCCTTTAAATTTTCAAAATCTAAGCTAGAGTACATGCACCCGTCAGGCCGTCGCGGTCGATCAAAGGCTATGTTGTAAACAGGATGGTATATCCAGCCTCTGCTAATCACATATACACAACCCAACCACTACAATAGTCTAGAGTTAATTTCAAATCTGCATTAGATTATAATTTTTAAAAATTCGAAATATTTCATAATTACGAAATTGCGAACCTGCTGCAGTCAAGAGTAGTTTCTAGAATGTATGTGAGAGACCTGAAACGGGCCAAAACGAGCAACATTCCTCACGAGTGGTTCCATCCTTGTGGTATTTCTTATGCGGGGTTTGAACGAATATATTTGGTTCATAAAAGATGTCATCCACGCACCCGTTTCACTTGAATGACAAACAGATTAATATTTGAAGGAACTGTACTTCATGCAGTATAAGATCAGAACAAGCCATGTTGTGTGCTGGTATACTGTGATGGATGACTTGAACGCAGATCACTGAGTGTCCACAGACAAATTCTTGGACATGAACAAAATCTGGTAATTTTATGAACATCTAAGATTTTTGCACTTCTTTACGAATGAATATCGTAAGGGGCACTTGTGTACGTGGATGCGTAATATATGTATAAATGTATAATTGTATTTGCTATGACATGGTAAGCAAAGTACTTGGCCTTTGAAGCTGCTGTTCCTACCTTTTGATAAGAGATTGATTAACGTATCATTTTAACAGCCTTCACCAGCGGCGCAACCCATCCCATTAGCACCGTAGTCCTGACACTCGCCTAGACACTAAGCAAACGAGTTAGATTTTTGATAACTTTACAAAGATAGCAGCTTCAGTGGACTTACAGAAGTGAAACCGCAAGGCTGGCATGATCGTTTTTCAAAGTCGCTGATCAAGACATCATTGCGGATTACAGCAGCGTTTGCAGCGCCAACGGCGAGAAGAACAGCTAGAAGAGCCTTGGAGAAGAACATTGTGATTAACACGCGGAAAATGCAGATTAATGACTATTTCCTCCTAAAGAAAATCAGATATTAGCAGCAGTAGTGTTGAGATTGTTTGCGTATGGTGTCCTTTTAAGCCTAGGGGGCGGTGGAATATATAGAGAAAAGTCGGACAAAAGTACGTAGATACTAAATCTCCAACGAGACATCGTGAAGCAGCCGCGTACTCTGGAACCCTGAAGCGGCCATATTTTCGGTGGAATAGTGTATCGAAATACTAGATCGGAAGGATCGGTCTATTACTTAGCGCTTATTAGGTTACGTAGTCACCACGCCCTCTGTACCTTGATTGATAGCTGAGCTTGGGCTACAAAAAATGCGCAAATAATCTAACGGCGAGTTTCATGTTCAAAGGGACTGTGTACAAGAGTGGAAATACATGCTATTTGTACAGCATACTAGACATATCTATTAATGTAGATATGCGATATTGTCTTTCTTTTCGCTAACTACACTAAGGTCGGCCATAAGTGACTGGCGGAGAGTTGACTGGACAGCAATATAGGATACAAACGATAGTGATGCACTTAGCATGGCGCTGTCTCAAGCTATCCGAAGGCAGTGTTAGCTTTGCTTTGAAGTACCAATAAGGGCGGATATGACGGATGATCTCGCTTTCCAAATATGTACACGCAAGCCGGCAGTTGCCCACGATAATTTAGGTTAGTCAAGCGCTGAAATTGAATGATCTAAGCCATATTTAGTCGATGTTATACCTATCAAGGTACTGGTATCGACACTCTATCTCCTGACGTTTACTAACCCAAAGAAATTCTACCTTTGCTTCCCCTGACTGACGCTAGCTGGGACGAACCCATGCTAGTGCTTTTCTGCTACGTACCCCTTATTTCCTTTCATATTATTCCCGCTCAACAAGCGTCTCTTAAGCCAAAATACATGGTTCTAATGTCTTATCTGAACCTATAAACATCACTAGGTCTATCGTTCTGAACCTTGCCCACTAAATCACACGCTTAGAGAAGCTTTGTACTCGAGCTAGACAAGCATCTAAACTACGATATTCGTGTGGCTACCCTGCTATACTCTGGAGGCATGGCAAGGCAAGGGTATTGTAATCAAACAAAAGGCTCCTTTTCGTTCGGTAGTTAATGAATCCCCGGCGCTATTGTCGTGGTGTAAAAGACCTCAGCAGAATACTCGACACTGCATACGAACATTGATATAAGATTTCTGAAGACCTCACGCAACATGCGTAAAGTAATACTCACTGAGACGGAAGTGCACCATGGTTTTTCACAGCAGCGGATTTTTTGAATCAACGCATGGAAATCAGTCACATTTTAAGGTGGGGCTAGTGCCATCTGCCATTCTCGAATTGTGGTCAGGTGTCACGCCACGCTTTACGCAGGACTAATATGGTCTGGAGTTGGCATGTATTCACAAGCGTGCATATCTTGACATTGAAGAATACCTTTTCCTTCCAAACAGCCTTGTGGTCAGTACTACAGTGTTGCAGCAAACATTACAAGTCTTGGTGTGGGCTTCACCTCCATATTGATAAAATCAGATCACACTAAATCTCTTGGTATTTGGGGTCAAGATATATTCTAGAAGGGCCGACCCGCCCTGATAGCCCCCTCGTATCTGTTCCCGCAGAACCCGGTTCGCCAGTCACCATCAGCTAGGTATTGAGCACCGCCCACCTCACAGCCACATCAATTTCAGGTGCTTACGACGCTGAAAGTAGCACGGATTCAACGTCTGCAATCTTACCTGGTCACGGCATCGTCCGTATTGCGGCCCGCCCATTAGATCTTACAAACGTCATCTCAAAATTCACTGACAGTTTCGAGGCACACTCCGAACCTGCGGCAACGTAGCAAATGAGGACGTCGAGTGGAATTTCCAGCATTCAAGTGATCGGGGACAAAAGTGGGAATTTTGTTACCAAAGGCTGTAATGTATTAAGCCGCAGATTCCGTATTCTAATTCTGGGTTTGGGTGTTATAGCTTGACACAAGTATTAGTAAAATTGGAATATACTACAGACCAATATGTAGTAATCATAGAAAAGTAATCAAAGGTAAGAATGCATTAGGATGGGAATATGTGACATGGTTGGAAAGGCTGTGTGTATTTCGTTACAGTTCCCGAGTAAAGGAATTATCCATCACGCTATCTATACAGGCTTTTCATTGGCTTTCATGGTCCAAGGAGCGAGGGTATATAACACAGCAAGAATTGCTATGCCTCTCCAGGAAAACGCATCATCAAAGGCTGCTTATGGATGGGCCCGCCATGAGGTCTAAAATCAATCTCAAGAACCTCGACATCCTTGAATCCGCGATTCTGATAAAACTTATATCCCGCCTCGCTAGATTCCAGATAAATAGGGAGACCGAGTTCTTCGGATTTTTCGATTCCCCATTTCATCAGAAGACTGCCTGCGCCGCGACCCTGGAATGCTGGGTCTGTAAGGAGTAGCCGAAGATCTGTCGTCACGCATCGCTGAGTTTAGCCATCGGCTCAGCCGGAACGATCACCAGAAAACTTACAAATATGAGGCTTGTCTCCTAGAATCGCTCGTTTTTGCTCCACCATGCTACTGAAAAACAGCGAGCATGCCTCGGCGTTTTTGCCAGGTATAACGGTCGGCGGGGACGGGCGAGCAGCAGTAGCCACTGCCTCTGGGGTGTCCAAGATGTACCATTGCGAAAATGCGGCCATCTTGCCCGCCGCTTCGTCATATGCCTGCATGTAACGAATCGAGGAATTTTCTTTTCTTGTCTTGATCCACTGCTCAACCTGCTCCTCCGTACCATCTTCAGGGAAAGGGCCTGGCGCGAGGATCGGGGCAAGAGGACCGTCATTGAACGACACGCTTTCAATCTCGCATACCCGGGGTATCTCGTCATCCGATACTTCGCGTACTACAAACGCCATTTCGATTAGACAGCTTTAGATATTTGGAAATGGCAGCTCTGTCTTGTAGCTGGGATTAAATTTTGGGTAATAAATGTCAGGAAAAATGGTATAGACGTTCAAGTAGTGGCAAGGGAAGAGAGTACATAATGTAAACTAAATGCATTGATGCCAAGGCGCTTGCATCCGGTGGATTGCGCAAAAGGGCGCAGTCAGAAGAGGGCGCCCTTTGAAAGTCCCAGATTAACGCCGAGTAGCATCTATCCAGAGTCCAACTCGAGAGCGGCATTAACATCTCACCTTTGATGACCAAGACCAAACATTGTAGCATTCCGTGGACGACCTGCTTGCGCAGACAAAAAGACTAAAAGCCAATCGCGATGAACACCTCATGCCTCAGCATGCCAACCATTGTGGTCTAATCACCTACGGATCACCACTTATGAACGATGGCGCGCAATTGATCTTCACCGAGTGTGCTGCGAGTACCTGAAACGATTTACGCGGTATATACCTATGATGCGACTCACCTGCAACGAAGTCTTACATCCGTCCGATTACAAAGAATCCGTCTGGAGGTCTGGGTACGCGACACTTCCGTTACTGTTAGAAGCGTCGAAGAAACGACGGAATCGCGACAAGTGGACAAACTTTGATGCTTGATTGATGCGGAATTCGCATGTACAAGATGTGCTGGCTGCGATGTAATAAGTCACGTGAATGCCGGAAGGGGCTACAAGATGGTTTGATTCGATAGAGACATTACTTACATCTACTTATGCACAGCTAAGTACGGATAGAGCGGCGCAATGCCTCGTGCTATTAGCGCCCGCGGGGCTACGTACTGGCTCCACCTCAGCTGTAGGATCAGGATCAATACAACCAACGTCAGCGTGACGAGGTTTCGCTGCCTCTTTGAGCGCAAGTACTTGTGCATCCAAGCAGCAAATCAACTGATGCGCAAGATGCGTCTGGATTGGAATGGTATTCTGCTGCGTCGCGATGTACACCTGTTACAAACACCGGATGGTCCGATAGAATCAATATAAAAAGGGGTCCAGGTGGCGCGCTGTCTGGTACAGGCGCATCTGCTTGACAAAGTTTGGGGGATACGCTAGATACTCCAAGGCTTTTCGCCAACAGCACAGCACGGCACAGCAGAGATAAGACGCATGCTGTAAATCCAGGGCGAACACGAACGAAAACAGCAAGCAAGACCACATCTAGTCATTTCCACGAGACAAAAGAAAACTGCGATACTACACATGCTACCATGACACCGACGGCAGTGGCCAACCTAGAAATCCCACGGCTCACGCGAAAGCTGAACAAAACCCGTACGTATGGCGTATATTGAACCACCAAGGACGCCATGGCGTGTAGCCAAGGCACGACTCACGACACTGAACATGGACTGATTTCCCTTTTATCCAGCCCACAAAACCCAGTACCACCCCATCAATCCTAAACCACCATTTCCACCCATCCTCTTCACCTCATCCCCCGCATACCAAGCCAAAAAAAAGATCATGGCAGCCATGCAAAAGCGACTCGAGCGCGAATACCACGCGATGCGCAAAAACCCCACGTTGGCCTACCACGTGCAGCTCAAACAAGGCGAGTTCAGCGACTGGCTGGGGTCACTGCAGGGCCTCAAAAACTCGGCTTACCAGGGAGGCACCTTCAAGTTCCACCTGCACTTCACCGAGGAATATCCGGCCAAGCCGCCCACGCTGAGGTTCACGACGAGGATTTACCATCCGAATGTGGATGCGAGGACGGGGGCTGTGGCGTGGAGGATGCTGGGCAGTGGGTGGCATCATAACATTACGGTTGAGAAGGTCATGATGAGTTTGAGGACGCTGTTGGATCATCCCGAGTTGGAGAGTGCGGTTGAAATGCAGATTGCGAGAGAGTTTATTCAGCAGCCTAAGAGATATGTGCATCATGCGAAGCAATGGACGGAAAGGTTTGCAAAGGAAGATGTGGTGTAATCTGGTGGCATGTAAAGGGGTGAGGATTGAAGCGAATGGGGGCATCTGCTGAGCATCTACCACTCTCGGAAGATGACATGAGGTGGTTAAGGACGGTTCTGCAGACGAGTTTTTTTTCACCGCCATGCCATACAGAGTATCTGTTCAAGTGACCGTTGAAGACATAGTATTATTGAATTAAGCATTATGTTTCGACGTCAACATAGTCCTCTTTGGATCTTTTATCTGTAAAAAGATATCCGACCACGGACGGCACTGCCTCCCTCTCGTGCTAGCTAGATGGTGACTATTTACGTCACAGATTAGTTTGAATATCAACCAGATTGATCAACGCACATGGTGCGATAGCCTCAACCGCTTCCCACTATTATGGACTTGCGCATCGTCATTCAATGCAACACCATCGACCTTGGGCCATTTCCCATACTCCCGTACATCATCTCTTGAGTCGCGCATACTTTGGTGACAACTTGGGAGGCGTTTCCGGTACCAAGACAGATACATTTTTCCGCTTGAGCGTCTTTTGCTGCGGACGTTTGTCTTTACGGTGTTCCGGGTGGTACATCTGGTCCACAACGCAGCCGTCTTTATTGTCCAGCTTAGGGTATTCATACTCTTCAGTCGGTGTCTCGCTGACTTGGACCAAATCGTTCTCTAGCCGGATACCCATAAATGGGGGCCGATGGTCTAAACATTCCTGCTGTGAATGGTGATTTGACACTACATTGAAGCTCTCTGCCGATTCCACGAAACCTTCTCTGCTGTCTGGCCTGTTGTTATACGTGTCGGCTGGGGCTGCGCTGTTGTGCGAGAGCTGATTCGCCGGACTATGGATCAACTTGCCACGTCCCAGAGACGATGCTGTGCCCTGAGAATCTTGCATTCCATGTAAGTATGAATTAGTATTCTCTCGAACAGCTGTCAGGACAAGTCAGCAAAAATAGCAAGATATATTTTCAAGCAGGGTGTTACCAGAAGCACCATTAGTGACAGAATGCAGCGAGAGCTTATTGATATCTTCCACGAGTCGATGGTTTTTCTGATGGGGCTTCCAATCAGCGATTGAGCGCTTGTACACCTCTTCAACATCTTTGGCATAGCATGTGAACCAAGGGTGTGCGAGGGCATTAGATGCTGTCATTCGATCTTCTTCTCTCAATACCAGCAGCTTTCTGATGAAGTCTTTTGGCTGAGGGCCCACAGATTTCCATAACGGATGATGATGGTCGTCAAGTACGCTCAGATTGCATACCGCTGCTAGGCTCACAATGACACGTTGCGCATTTCTGTCGTAATCAGGATGGGTGCGGTCAGTAAACAAGTGATCGCCTGAAAGGACAGTAGCTGTAAGTGCGCCGATAGACCACATATCTACACTTTTGGAGTATCCACGTTCGACAGGGATGGTCGGGTTAGCTCGGTGAATTTCAGGCGCTGCGTATTCCAGAGTACCGACGTATGAAAACATTCGCTGGTACTTGTTGGGCTGGCTGGTCTTGTCAGGAATGAACCTTGCGTTGCCAAAATCAGTGATGACGACGCGAGCACCAGCTTCGAGTGATGACATCAGGATGTTGTCCGGCTTGAGATCCCGGTGTACAACATTTTTCCTGTGCAGGTACTCGATCCCCTTGAGCACCTGGTACACAATGGCTGCCGTCTGCATGCAGTTGAGCCGCCCGCCTTTGAACTCTAGAAAAGAGAATAGATCGCCGCCTGTAATGAGCTCTTGAAATATGTAAATATTGTCACGGCTGCAAAAGACTTTCTCGACACTGATAATGTTGGGGTGGCTGAGGTCTTTGAGGATGTCGAACTCTCGAAAGCATCGTTCCCTTGACGAGCTGACATGCTTTTTTCGATCAGCCGTTGGGAGACGCGAAGCTTTCGCAGCAATTTCATCCAGTCGAACGATTTTACACGCGAGCTGTCTCTGTGTCTGTTGATGAACACCCACTAGTACTTTACCGTATCCGCCCGCACCGAGCATACGAGAAGTGACGAGATATCGAGCGCTAAACATTTGTCTCTCGACTTCTTGGGTGGGTGTCAGCTTGATAGTCTTCACAGGACTTCTTGAGATGTAAATCAATGTGATATTCTCCGATATGTGCAGTTCATCGCCGGCATCCAGCAGGAAAGTGTTCTTGCGGCCCATGAGAACCCCGTCGTCTTGGGATGCGGCATACTCGACATTGCTCTTCTTCAGGTAAGTTCCATTGGCTGACAGATCAGTCGCATAAAGAAATGGTGAGATGTCTGAGATGGGGTCTTGCTCGTAAAGAATGCAGTGGATGCGCAGATGCAGTCGTGAGATGGTGAGGTCATCGCACCATGTGTAACGACTGTAACAGAGTCAGAACAAGTCCGTACAGGGAAGAGAACAGGGCCCCGACCAGAGCTCGGCGTCTCTCCCAAGGTAGAACTGCTCGTTCCCGCAAATCTCGATGTGACTGCCGTGGCATCCTGCGCTCGTTAGCCTGCTGCTCTGGAGTGAGCATGGCCTCAGCCCACCATGTACATCCTCGCCAGCAACAAGGATCTGCAGCCATCCCACGACTTCGCCCGCCATGATGCACTGCTGCTGCGTCACTGGTGAGGCGATCTCAAACCACTTCACTTCACTTCACTTCACTCCACTCGACTTCACTGTCACTGTCGGGGTGGAGCAGAGACCAGGGCAAGTGACGCGACGCGCGTGAACTTGGCACTTGCTTCTTGGCCGCTAGCTAAGCGAGCCCCGCACCCACCTAGTATTTCGACGAGCTGAACTCTGACCTTTGTTCTACACTCACGACACTCATCTCGACAGCCACGTAAGTCAACAAGCCCCCAGTCGCGCTCAATTGCGCCTTGTCCTCGCTCTTGCGAGTGCCCTGGCTGTTGCCATGACGCCCGCACCCATCAATTGCAGCTGCTGACGTCGCCCTACAGTCCGCCGACAAGATGAGAGCCAAATGGAGGAAGAAGCGCGTTCGACGTCTCAAGCGCAAGAGGAGAAAGACTAGGGCTCGTTCGTAAGTGGCTCGCACGCAGCATTCAGTCGCTTCGCCGGTCTAACACGTGTGCAGCAAATAAACTACTCGCCCCCTCGATCTCAGCAGCCCATCGCCTCGGTTTTGAGCGATAACGATGAATGAACGACTTGTTTTCTACGCACACCCTTCCGGCTAGCTCGCGCCATGTCATTCCAGTGCGCATTTGGACCGAACGCTACGTCATACGGCCGACTGCGACACGCGAGCTATCAATGATGCCCCCCCGGGAGGCACCGACTGTGCTGGATTGAGGAACGTTATGGGAGGCTGGTCAAATTGCCCACTGGGCACGTTGAGGTTCTTCGGGAGTTTACTTGAACATGAGATTACGACGGCCGCTCTAACACCGGTTTGCAGCCCGTAGCGGATGCTTACCTTTGACTGGCCTGTCGCCATGTGGCATGCGATAACGGAATCAAAAATGCTTCACGACATTATTTGCCTGCTGTGTGCGTGACGTGATGTGTATGTGTATATTGCCGAGTAGCGAGCTCGGCTGCTGGGCGTGACGTACTCCACCGGACTGTAACCGAGATTGATACACTGAGTCTGATATGCTGATAAGACAGTAGGAGACAAGGTCACGACTCGAGAGTGTCTGTATTCTCCCCGTATTGTAATGTTGTTAACAGCGTAAGCAATGTCAAAATCATATCTTCAATCACACATGCCTGGGCGTTGGCATGTGTAGACTCACCACCAAGACCATAAAACTGGCACGTCGTATTGAAGTCGACCTGATCATTAAATGACTACCAAATAATCGTACGCGATGTGTGAAGAAAATAAGAGAAAAAGTTCCATTGTGCATTCACACGGTGTACCCCCAAAGCCACACACATACACCCATCTGGTAACCAAAAATCGAGAGTAGACAAAAGGAACAAGGTTTAGAAAGAAGAGGGGCGGCGTCTGATATATGATGTAGGCACAGCATTCGCCATGCCATCTCACGCCTTGACATGCGTCCACGCATAAATCGACTCGGTGTTGTCGTCCTTCTCCGTGTCCCGTCGGGCATGCCGGTCCTGATGTACTTCGTGCAAGACGTAGACGCCGTCGGCGTCGCTGGCTCGTCCGGCCTGCGTAGCCCAAGCATGGGCGTGGACGCCCGGCGCGGATGTCGAGGCTACTGTGTCTGCGGCGGCGGCGGTGGAAGCGGTAGTAGTAGTATTGGTGGTGGAAGCGTTAGCAGTGTGAGGTTCGGCAATGTTGCGGTAGCGGAACAGCGGTAGTAACGCGATAGCCGTATGTGGTCTTGCAAACCAGCGCTTGAACAGCGAGTTTCGCGCCGGTGGACCATGCTGTGCTTGTTCAGACTCCGCTTGCTTCTGTGCGACCAGCGCGTCCTCGGTCGTGACGCTGTGCAGGGCGGAGCCCGAGTCGTCGAGCGCAACCGACGTGTTTCCAAGCGACTTTGTCGAGTGGGTTGCCGACGACGACCAGAGGAACTGTTTCGCTTTGCTCGAGACACTGCTGGTCCAGGAGCGTGCGGCGATGAAGCTCGAGGGCGTGCGGTTGCCAGCTTCGCTTGGTCTGTAGAGGCTGGGCCACAGCTTGCCCAAGCCCATGCTGAGCAGGAGTTTCCTGTAGAAGTTGTGGGCGTCGACGCCGGTGCCGAACAGCACAAATGTAATGTAGCCCGTGGCGACTTGGATCCATTTGTCGTACGCAACCTGCCCGTCCACAGGCACGTGGATGATGGTGTTGAACTGGACGGGGTCGTGGACCGTGGACCACGAGTAAGGGTCCTTTGCGACCAAGGCGACGACGACGGTGATGTAGATGGAATAAGTGAGATAGATGACGCTGATGGTCATGCTGAGGATGAACAGCCGGATGAAGCGCGAGGAAGTCGTGTTTTGAGCAGCAACCAGGCGGTGGAATTCTTGCCGATAGCGGTACAAGCGGTATACGAGCAGAACTGCAAACATGTATTAGCATCTCCCACTGAGCAATTCCCTCGCCCGGCAAGGAAGACTCGCCTGACCAGTATGAGGCAAAGCCCATGGCAATGGGGAACCACATGATGCTCAGCACGAGGCTCGGCCACGACGTGTCGTAGGCCGGCAGACACCCTACGATGCCGTAGATGATGTAGCGAGCCGGCTGGACGACATAGTACACGATTGCCAGGACGAACGGGGCGCCCCAGCACCATACGACTTCCCATATTTTCTCGCGGATCCGGCTCTTGCGGCTGCTCGATACCGTGATGTTGCGCGTGTCCATGACCCGGGCCAGCTTGCGCGTGATCATGGCTGCGGATGCTGCAATGCCCACGTAGCTTGCGACCTGGATACGCACATGGACGTCGCACCATACACTGCCGTTCCACCAGTCGAGCAGGTTGTCTCGCGGCCAGATGAGGGCGTTGATCGAGTTGAAGAAGTTGTGCAGGATGATCCAGAGTATGTTTGACCCCGCGGCCACGTTGGCTTGTCGAAAGTGCCAGATCATGGAGGGAAGGCAGAGAATCCATGCTGGGAATGCGAGCGCTGGAAACAGGATTGCTTGGAAGTAGGTGGGCGCATCGGCTCCGTGGCCTAGCGGATAGGCTGTGCCGCCGGCGAGCACCTCCATTGCTTTGAGTGCAATCCGTCTAGCAGCAGCGAAGACTAATGGCAATCTGAGGGCCTTCTGAACGGTGTTTGAGTCGATGCTGTCGGCAAGATCCACTTTTCAGGGGGGTTGGAAGAGGAGAATATATGCAAAGCTGGAGTTGGGAGACGAGGGAGCGAGTGACGGAGATGGCAAAGAACGGTCGAACCGAGGGCGTGGAGTCTCCGCGATTCCATATTTCGATTGATTGACGGCAGTCGGGTATCTGAATAGAGCGTGTTGATGTCTCAATCGTCAATACTGCTCAATAGGCGGCTTGCAATTGAGCTGCGCTCACTGGACGAGTGAAGGCCGGTCGTTCGACTCGGAACCAATCTTGGCGAGTATACTTGCCCAAGTCAATAGGCGTTTGAAACGATGTGATCCGTCGCATTGGCACGGCGTGGCCTAGTGTTTATAGGATTGGATGGTTGGAGGAGGAGGTGGTGAGACCCTGACCAGTCCGCTTCGGGGTCTGAATAGGAAAAGTGGCCATGGCGACGACTTGTGAATAGAAGATTGATCAGGAGAAATCGAGACATGTCTTTGGTGTGCATAGGGGAACGACAGGGAGATTCATGTTGAATTGATGCGTAGAGTCTCTGCATATGGGGAGATGCAGACTGAGGCGTGTATGATGCGTCTATCCAACTACCAAGCCCAGCCACTTCAATTGCGCTGTCACTGGGGGAAACCTCATGGGTATTCAGACCTTGTGCGTATCGTCAATGTGCGAAGATACCTATGCTATCAGCAGAAAGAATTGGTTTTTTTGATGCATGGCCGCATATACCCGCAGGGGAGGGTACAGCAGAAGCAATGGTAAAAAAACCACATCTCCTCAACAAACGCTGATTCATCTGTGTCTCCTACCGGAGCGCGCTTGATTGCTTCTTCCCAACCTGTGCGGGCTGCCGGCTGCAGGGATGTTGCGAGATGCTGCATGGCCACGACGACTAGGCGGTATCAACATGGCGGTTGTAGGTGTAGGCGCTCTCACCGGACCCATTGCTGTAGGAAGAGAAGGATTTGGCCCTTTGCTCGCGGCAGATAGCGAACTGGCAGCATATTGGTACACGAGGAAAGGCGCTCTACAATTGACCGCATGGGGATTCGGATGACGTAACACGGGTGTAAAGATGGCGGCGGAACGGGCGTCGTAGACCGCAGCGGCACACGAGCATCGGGATGAGCAAATGCGAGCGGTACCAAGGCTCTTAGCCATGGGCTGCCAGTCTTTTGGGGCGGATGGATTATCGACTCGACTCGACTCGACTCTGTCTCTGACTCTGACTCTTACTTTCCTGACGATCGGCTGGTGACGCTGCGCAACCACGTTAGCATTACCTTTAGTAGGGACTTGTTTCGCCACGACCGTCAGTGTCCCCCACGTACACCCAGGTGTAATGGATGCACCAGACAGTCACAGTCACAGCCGTGCCAGTCCCCCTCAGCTTCGCCAGAAGATGTTGAACCGCGCTGCCACATTTGCCGAGGGCGCCCCGTCGGCGTCGTCTGCGCTGCCGGCGTCGCTCTCTCGCCGCCGCAGTTCGCTCGTGTCGGACCTCTCAGACACGCGACACTCGTTCCGCTCGTCGACGGACAACCTCTTGCGGGCGGGCGGACGCAATGACACGGATGCGCAGGCGGCTGCCGACGAGCCTCCGCGCTGGATTGCACTGCCCGTTGTGGCGGCCGTCGTGCCGGCCATGATTGGGCTGACGGTGGAAAACGGGGCGGATATGGCGACAGATGTGTTGATACTGGTGCTGGCGGGGTGGTTTCTGCACTGCAGCGTCAAGGTGCCATGGTGAGTTGCAGCGGATGCGGGCGATGGATGGATGCATGGGCGGGCCTCGCTGACAGCAGCTTGTGTGTGCATGCAGGGACTGGTACCGGGATGCCCAGCAACGACGATATCTGAGCGATGAGGCCGCCGAGCCCTACAGCGACACGATACACCAAGAGAAAGACGACGGCGTCGACGGCACGCCCGAGGCCGCAGCAGAGGCCGCGACCGAGCTGAGGGCCGACGGCATCACGACGCCCACGGCGCCCACGGCGGCATCGGCATCGGCAGCGCAGCAGGAGGCTCGCAGGGCGCTGAAGCGGTCAGAAGTGCTGGCCTTTGTGGGCTGCTTCTTCGGACCGCTGCTGGGTGCGCTCCTCATGCACACGGTGCGAGGACAGCTGATGCGCGCCGAAGGCATCGTCTCGGATGCCAACCTGAGCATCTTCCTGCTCATTGCCGAGATCCCGCCCGTCAACCGCCTGATCAAGATGCGTACAGAGCGTATACTGCATCTCCAGCGCATCGTGCGAGAGGCCCCGAGGGAGCCAGTCGGTCCCGCAGACGCCCAGCAGCTCTCGCAGCGCATTGCCGAGCTCGAAGGCCGTCTCGATGGCGTACGCACGCCCAACCACCACGCCGCGATTGATGTGGACAAGATCAGCGCCGAGGTGCGCCAGACGACCCAGCTCCAACTCGACGCCCTCAACCGCGCCGTCCGGCGGTACGAGAAACGCCACATGGCCCAGTCGCTCCAGATCGAAGCCCGCTTCCAGGACCTCGAAGCCCGCCTCCAAGACGCCCTCGCCCTCGCCGCCGCCGCTGCAAGGACCGGCCGCCAGCCCGGAATCATGACGCTGACGGTGGCATGGCTCGTCCGCACCGCCAGTCACACGTTGCAGCTGACTTGGGACGTCGCCATGTACCCCTTCCGGACGGCGGCGGTGGCGCTGCGAGTGGTCAAGTCGCTGCTGGTTAGAGACGAGCCGCAGGCCAAGCGGCGGGCCAAAGGCGGGCAGGTCAATGGATATACGCCCATATCGACGAGTAGAATGCAATCAAAGACTGGGCGGTGAAAGCTCGTAATGACTAATTCCCGTCTCGCTCCTATCAAACCCGGCTCCTCAGCTATCCTCCTCCCGCGTCTGTCTTTCTTGTGCGTGCCGCCATGGTGATGTTGATGCCACGGGCTGCACTGGATGCCACAGGCCGTGTTTGTGCAGAGTCCAACGACACAAACCCGTGCAGCAGACGCCAACTGCAGCCAGCAGCCGGCCTGAACAACGGCCTGCTGTGCACATGTGCAAGCAACGTGGCGTGGGCGTGGGCTGTCGACGGCGGCCAAGAGTCATGGCCATGCTGTCGCCCGGCTATATCCGATGCAGTAACCCGACATGCAGGTACGGCGAGCGGCTCTCTGAATGCAACCAAGGCCAGAGTATGGCTGGGACGTTGCATCCGTCGACAACGTACCCCGCCCCCACTACATGGCCTCCTATCGGAGCCGAACACGGAGGGCAGTGGCACGTTGCCAAAGTGATACTGGCACGCCGCTTCTTGACTCCCTTTGCTCCATTGCCCTTGACGACTTTTTTTCGGTCTTTGTTTTCGTCATCGACGCTGTATGATAAATACCATCTGCAAGGACACTCGAAAACAACATAGCGGCCATGTCGTTAACGTCCGATGTCACTGTCGACGCCTCCAAGTTCGACCGCAGCACCATTGACAAGGAGACACTCGACTTCAACGACAAGCTGATCAAGATATGGGCGGATGGTCCCAGATGGTACGAGGTGCGTGTGTATTCGGAGACCCATCTTGGTCAGCGTGCGCCGCAATACTTAGACAAGAAACAGGTCGGCGCAGCAGAGTACCGGAAAATGAGATGGGAGGGCAAGACGCCCTTGCCCAAGCCAATTGTGCTGCCAGAAGGCTTCAATGGCGCCCTGCCTTCGAGAGAGGCGGGACGAGAGATCCCGTACCGTGTGTTTAAGCCGAGCAGTGGCAAGAGTAACGGCATTCACATGCATATCCACGGCGGTGGATGGGTTCTGATGAGTGAAGCCTAGTACGTGTGGTCCTTCTTGTGCCGTGAAATCTCATGCTTCGCGTCTGAGGCTGCCATGTCAGGACACGCAAAGAAGGCAAGCTGACGTCTGCAGCCAAGATCCATATCTCAAGTACATGGCCGACCACTTCGACGTCACAGTCGTGTCCATTGGATACCGGCTTGCGCCCGAAGACCCCTGGCCAGCTGGTGCAGAGGACTGCTACGATGCCGCCGAATGGCTGGTCAAGAACGGCCCTGACGTCTTTGGCGGGGAGCTCATGTTCACTGGTGGCGAGGTGTGTATTTTTTTTCCTGCTCAGCACCTACTTGAAGCTAACACTGCACAGTCTGCCGGTGGCCATCTCGCCTGTCTGGTGGCCCTGCATCTTCTTGACAAGATGCCGGAATTTGCTTTCAAAGGCCTCCTGTTGCACTTTGGCTGCTTCGACATGTCGTCCTTCCTGCCTCATGTCCTGCACCATGAAACCCATCTGGTGATTGACCACGACGTTATGAAGTCGTACATTGACGCCCTGTTGCCCAACACCACCGAGGAGCAGCGCCGCCACCCGTCGATAAGCCCCTTCTGGGCGGATCTGCGGGGCAAGAAGCTGCCGCCGGCCTTGTTCACCTGTGGAAGCGAGGATCCGCTGCTCGACGACAGTGTTATGATGGGCGCCAAGTGGGCCATGTGGGGGAATGAGAGCGTCGTCAAGATCTACAACGGCGCACCGCATGGATACATTGGGTTTCCTCCCGGTACGATTAAAGCAGTACAGCAGGGGCTGGACGATACCGAAGCCTTTGTCAGGGCGAAGAGGGGGTCGTAGTCTAACGCCGTATGTACAAGTTAATATTCAATAGAGTATTTCCCGATAGTCTGCCTGAAGGAGCAAGGCGAGAGATGACTCGCAGCCTCACTCTGCATATTAGCGTGTGTATTGGAAGATGAGGCCAAGTTGCTGAATTCCAGTCCCGGCGCTATCCGCACTGTCCGCATGGGCATGGCATGAGCAAAGACGAGACCAGCCATATTTCTCGTGCGAATCCGGGAACCATGGTCACATGACAAATCAGTTTCCGCTTCTGTTCCAGGGCATGTCGACATATCGTGTCGGGGTCCACGCACCGCAAACGGAGGTTGAGCCCTGACTAGCGGGAACAACCGTGTTTCGTCATAGCGAAGCACGGCCGGCCCAAGTAAAAGTATCCCAACCACACTCGGGCGCGTTTGGAAAAACTTGGCCTCCTTCTCTCTCCACCCCCCGCAATGGCCCCGTAGTCGACACGTGCAGCACAACCATGGCAGACGAGCAGAGCCCCGAGAGGCGGCGGTCGCGGCGAAGGAGCGGCATGTACCGCCGCGGCTCCCATATCAGCGAGTACGTGATGGCGCCCAGCTGACGGCCATGGGCGACGACTAATGAATGGGCGCAGGGCAAGCTTCATGGAGGATGTCGAAATGGCTCAGGATGAGGTACACGAACTCGCCCTCTTGCCCCCCCCCCCGGCGTCCCCCACGCCCGTTCCACGCTCCTAGTGAGAGGCCTGGCCAGCAGCTGACGCCCAAAATCCAGGTCTTCTCCGGTCCCATGAGCGAGAGCGTCCCCACGAGCGTATCTGGATTCCGCCACCGACGCGCCGGCTCGAGCGCCAGCTTGACGAGCTTTGCATTCTACGACGAAGAGCAGGATTCCGGCGACGGCACCGAGGACGAGGACAGCGCCATCGACGACGACGACGACGACGAGAGCCTGTACAATGGGCATGCCGTTGACGATGTCGACGACCTGGAGGCGGCATCGCCGTCGCCCTCGTCGCACTCGCCGTCGCCATCGCGGCGCAAGTCGAGCGGCAGCCGAAAGTCGTCCGAGAGACCGTTGCTGCGCAGGGTCTCGTCGGCAGGCAGCACAGGCTCAGGCGCCGACTGGAGGGGGCGCCGGTCCAACCAGAAAATCTATATCATGACCGAAGACCTGACGATTGTCATTGCCGGCTTCAAGACGTCGCCTGTTGGCTACGCCCTCTATGCGCTTCTGTGCGTCGCCACGCTCGGCCTCGGCTGGCTGCTCTTCAGATGGCTGCCGCGGTGGCGCGTCACGATAGTCGGAAAGAGTGCGCCTCTAAAAGAGTGCGACTGGATCGTCATCGAGAACCAGTGGGGCGAGTTTGCCGTGCAGCACGTCAACCGCCAGACGTACGGACGCTCGCTCTCCACCGTCTTTGGCGACCCCGAAAAGGGCCGCCCGCGGGAATGGGACGAGGACGACGATCCGCTGATTGGCGAGCTGAGGTGCCTCGACTACCGCTATATCCGCTTCGTGTACCACCCCATCAAGGACAAATTCGTGCTCGCCAATACCTGGAAAGACCCCAGCTGGACCCATGTCTTGGCTCTCCGCGAGGGCCTCGACAACGATGAGCGCGACTACCGTGAACTCGTCTTTGGCAAGAATATGATTGACATTGCGGAAAAGACAGTCGGCCAGCTGCTCGTTGACGAG